GAGATCATAGTTGGCTTTGCTGCTAGAAACTCTTCATAACTTTTGAATAGGTTGAAACGAGATGCATAGAATCCCTGGTGTAATGAGTTGAACTTTTTCTAATGAAAAATATTTTTTTGTACAACTGTCATTAAAAGTGACATTTTAATGGTTGTCAAGAGTATTAAAAGATGATGTTTACAAAGTAGCGTGTTAATAATATTTTTAACACCCGTGTTAAAAGAATTTTTAACACCATTTTTTTCGACTAAATAGCAATGAAAAAAACAATTATTCAATTTTCATTGAATTGAATTGAATTCTGTTACAAATGTATTATATAAGTACATTAATTACATTATTATTTTCTTTTTCAGTGCGGTCAGTGGACTTCAGTGGTCATTCTTGCCCCCAAAAAATGAGTTGCACTCCTCGTAGAACTGGTTCCCTTTCAGTGGAAGAACTTCATGAAGCAAGAGCCGAATCGATCCCTCTACGAAACCCTTCTTCACTTGGAAGGATCGATCGCAGCTTGAGAAATGGTGCTTATGGAGATTCTGTGAAACATATTCTTCCTTACGNGTTATTTCTTTGTAATTTCAGTTTTTTGTTTAATAAAATTGTTATTTTTCGGTTATTCTTTTTAATTTTTTTACAGATTCTTTCAGGGATTTCAATTAATATTATATTAGACAATGGAACACGTCCATTATCATTAATATAACTGTTCCTACATTCGTTCTGCTGATACGCTTCGTTCGTCATTCGTGATCCCATTATCTCAACAATTCGATATACTCCTCCCTTATCAAGTGAATCCATATCCACCCGCACACTTGTAAACACATCATCTAATTTGCCAAGAGACTTGCCTTCGACACAGAGATCGGTAATTCGGAAATCCATTTTATTAGACAGGGGAACAATAGGAGCCACGGTGGGATTAGCAGCGTCTTATTAGCTATAAAATACAACTTAGATTTTCGTGCGTGATTTCCAATTTCCATTCTATTAGCCGACTTGATGGCTTCTCGACCTAATCTACAAAGGATGCGGGCGAGGGGTGTGGAAAGCTCGAGAAATTGTATGTCTTCTTAGATGTTCGCGCGCGGGGATTTGATTAAAAGTGCAATTAGGCGAGATGGGGTCGTTTTGAGGCCGCTGTGTTATTCAAAACTAATTTAAATATTCGATCCGCAATCAACAGTATATTACGTATCGAGGAAGGAAACACTTCAATCTCTCGTCAGGCTTTGCAAACACTATTCTTCAAGTGTCACATAGAAAGACTAGTGGGTGAACAATGGCCATATTGTTCCAGTCCTGACCTTGATGCAAACGAATTAACACGATTTGTTTCTCTCTGACTTATCTTGTATACATATCTCCTGCCATGTTTCATGAACTCTATTCATCAGGCGTCACAGAAATTGTAAAAAGCTAACAATGGTCATGCTGTTCCAATCCTAATTTTAATGTACACGGCACAACAATATTTGTTTTCCTTTGACCTACCTCGTATACACTTCATCACGTTCCTCAGATTCCTTTTCGAGCACATTTATATGGGTAGATCCTGTATTATCGATACTTATTAGTTTTTTTTGAAACATTTGCAAATATTTAGATGTTCGCAAGCGGAAATTTGATTAAAAGTGCAATTGTGCCAGAGGTTTTGAGGTTGCTGTGTGATTCGAAAACTAATTTAAATATTTGATCCGCAATACAACTTTATAAGGTTTGATGTGAACGACGTCTGTTAAAAAAAAATAAGATGAACGTTCAAATTTCGCGGGCAACATACTTTCGATTAGGAATTTTATTTTTTTATGTTGGTATACTCGTCTCGAACATATATTCACAGTTTCAGTTGTTTAGCATGTTCAGGTTGTTGTTAGTGAGAAACATAAAAGCTACAAGCTACGTATTCGGCGATTTTCTGTTATCGAAAAAATAGATCAAAAAATTTGCATCAAATGTGCAAAAAATGCTTGAACTGTTGACAGTGACATACGGTGATTGTTTACAAGTAGTACAGTACAGTGCATTTCTTTAATGTTCCCCCCTTTAATTTTGTGAACGGGTCAACTCAAAAAACTGAAATTTGGGATAATGAAATTATTGCATGAATAATTTATTTTGAAATGAAATTGACAGATAAAACTTTCAAGATGGTGACTGGGCGCCATCTGGAAAAAAAATTAAATGGAAAGGGGGGTTTTGTGAGACATATTTTTGAAGCTCCTAAAAAATGCTTCAAAACCTTAGAATATCATGTCAGTATCTTCAACTACTACAAAATGGCGGAACTTTTAATAATTGCCGGAATACATTGACATTTAACTACATAATATGAGGTAATAAGTTTGAGGTCAGTTCAAAAGATGCTCGACATGGTTGCCTTGAACTTCTTGACATATGAACAGCCTATCCGATATTTCACGCCGAACACAGTAACATCAATATCTCTACAAATATTTATTATTCTCTGCCGCATATTCAATCTTGAAGCAGGTTCAGTTTCGTACACCTTTTGCTTCGAATAGCCCCATAAAAAAAGTCCAAAGGTGTCAAATGTAGCGAGCGGGCTGGCCATTCTGTAGGGCCTCGACGGCCAATCCAACGACCGAGAAAAGTAGTATCCAAATAGTTTCTCACTTGTCTGGGGTAATGTGGTGGTGAGCCATCTTGTTGGAATACAATATTCATATCGAATTCATTAGGATTCGTTTCGACAATTTCAGTGACGAGAGGGTCAACAGTAGTTTCCAGCATATTTAAATACCGTTCNTGAAAAATTGTTAATATATTCATAATTTGATAAATCGACGATTCACTACAAAAAATAATTGACAGGTCATGATCATGTTTTTTTAGGAAAAGGTTTTGGCTTTCTATTTATTCATCTCTGAAACCTCTTACCAAAATGTGTAGATCATGCAGAGAGGTAACTTTCAGATACAAACTGGAAGAAAAAGCCCTGTCAAACAACTACTTTCATATAAACACTGAATTACAGGAAAGAAAAATACTTTCAAAAACTAGTTATTTGTACATTGAATTATATAAAACACTTCCTATTCAGTTTTTACTCCAAACATTCATTATGGAATTGAATCAGACACCATTCAGAGGATTGCTTCACAATGTAGTACATGAAAGTGTCACCCTCAATGGCGGACACCCGATGCCGAAATTCTTTTCCAAAAATTATACCCCTTTTCATTTTTTTTTTACTTCTGAAACAATATATTTTATTGAATTACTCATCTTAATAACAAGTTCAACTTTGTGAAGTTTTTTGTTGATTTATTCATGTAAATGAATATTATTGTAGAAATGGTTTTTATTCATGCATTCATGAATATATTTATTATAATTTACCACTATTATTACTATCACTTGTGAACAAAAACTATAAAGAAGTATCTAAATATAACGGGGTAGAAGTGGCAGTAAAATGAAAAAGAATCATTTGAAATAAATCCTGATTGTTAGAACCAAAATTTGCTGTTTCAGTTATTTCGTTGATGTTCAACAGACAACTTTCCAGAATTGAAGGGGTTATATTTTTAGAAGTGATTAATTTTTGGGAAAGAAAGTTTTTGGCTTTCTACTACTCCATCTTGATACAAAAAATAAGGATGAGGGAATCTTCCAAGGAAGGAAGTAATCAATTTCAAAATAAGTAACTCTATACATGGATGTGTAGATCATGCAAAGAAGTAACTTTCAGACGCAAACTGAAAGTTCTCCTGAAACAGCTACTTTCATATAAACATTGAATTACACGAAAGAATTTTTTTCTGTTTCAGGAGGACTTTCTTTCTATACATCCATGTATAGAGTTACTTATTTTGAAATTGATTACTTCCTTCCTTACCTTGGAAGATTCCCTCATCCTTGTTTTTTGTATCAAGAAGGAGTAGTAGAAAGCCAAAAACTTTCTTTCCCAAAAATTAATCACTCCTAAAAATATAACCCCTTCAATTCAAATAAGATTCCTC